CAGTCCATTCATTGATGAGGAGTGAGTAGGCTTCAACCACCAGCTCTCACTGACACAGAAGGAAAGCCACAGCCTCCATTTCCTGCTTCCCCTGACCTGTGAACTAAAATAAACTATTCCTTTCCATCAGCTGCTTATATCTGGTGTCTGGTTATAGCAACAGTAAGTAACTGATAGGCACATCAAGCACAGCCTTCCTCCCCCTCAGCCTTCCTCCACATAGCCCAGTCTCTCAGTCATGGCTATCAATAAACACATCTGTGAGATCTACCGACCACTTTGTTAGATGGAAGAACATGAGTCTAATATTCCCCGGGCAGCATGGACATGCAATCCAACCTCTCTGAGCCTATGTTTCTGCATTAGATGATTACAGGTGGTGTTTACCTGCTGGGATGGTTAGTTATAATTGCCAAAAATCCTCTGGGAAGGGAATATCAGTGAGAATGTATCTAGATTCTATTGGCCAAAAAAATGGGTGTGTCTGTCTAAGACTGTCTAGACTATAGAAATTGGTGTGAGAAGCCTACAGTAGATGACTTTGCTGTCTGGATTTGAATCCAGGGTTGTATGAAAACTGAGAAAATGAACTGAGAATTGCCACTTGAGGATTCATTTCTCCCTTCTCTTGATCATGGGTATGACTGGCTGCTTCCTATTCCTGCCACCCTTCCCTATGCAATGGGGACTGTAATCTGGAACAGTAAGCTAAATTAAGCCCTAAGTTCCTTGTGTCAGGGTATCTTATTACAGAAACAGGCAATGAAACTGACACACTATCCAGCCAAAAAGTACTGAAGAAGTAATGTCGTTTTGTGGTTATTCAAAAAGCAAAGTCTTGGGAGGTCATGGTGTCATCCTTACCCCAGCTGCCCTTGGAGACTGTGAGCCTGCTTGAAAAAGAGGCTACTAATGCCAAACTCATCTGGAATTTAGACCTCTCCTCCCCCAGTCATTCTCTCCTTTGGAGACAGACACAAATCCCCTGCATCTCCCCTACCCTTCAGATCAGCTCCACCAGGAAGCAAGCCTTCTCTTTGTACTATAACAAACATACGTCTCACATCGGCGATCCCTGGGGACCCTCAGCAGCACCACACACAAGGCTTTGAAGTTGAGAGTGTGTTTAATGCACAAGGGCCCCGTCTTGGTTCAAGGACAGTATTTTAAGTCCCAGGGAAGACAAGAAGTTTTGATCGCAAGAAAAAAAAAAGATTCTTAACAGACTTGAATGATAAAAGACCATAATCGAACTCGACTGTAGCAGGCAGCACTGAAGGGGGTGTGGATAGACCCAACTGACTGGGATGCCTGACTTCCATCCCAGCCAAAGCCAGGTCTTAACCCCAGCCAATGGCATTTTCTTCACTTATAGTAGGCACAGGATGACAGTGAGCAGGGAAAGAAACCTAACCAAGACATGGAAGACTCTAGGACAAAGACGTGGTGTGGGGCAATGACCTCCTGTGAAAGGTGATTGCCAGGGGAAGTCTCCTGACCAAATGGTCAGGCCTAGGGGTGACAAGACAGGAGCTGTCACCTCATCTAGATTCATCAGGACATAGCCATTGCTCATCATTTTTTCATTCTCTCCTCCCCCTCGCTCTGTGTGTGTGTGTGTGCATGTGTGTGCACGCGTGTGCGTACATGCATGTATGAAGGTCAAAAATCAGCCTCCTGTGTTATTTCACTCACCTTGTTTATTGATACAGGCTCTCCCTCCCTGGAGCTTGCCAAGGAGGCTTGCTTGGATGGCCAGTAAGTTCCAAGGATCTGTTTCTCTCCACCTTCCCAGAGCTAGGATTGCGAGTGTAAACCATCATCTCTAGCTTTCTGATGTGGGCTCTGGGGAGCAAGCTTGGGTCTTCATGCTTACAAGCCAACAACTTTACTAATAGGGCAATCTGATCACCTTTCAGATGAGGTTTGTTATTTCAGAATCAAACCACAACAGCAACATCGTCTCCCATAGCTCTAATGGGAATTCAGGCTTCCGGAAGAAAGTCAACGTTATGGGAAGAAAAGATATAGGGCAGATGGCTCCTGGGGGTAGGGTCTCCTGATGGTCTGTAGAAGAGATATAGCTGGAACCTGGGTGGAGAATGAGCCTGGTATCACCAACCATTCTGTTCCCAGAGGACTGTCAGATGCCCACTCCAGAAGAGGGTCCACCAGAGAAAATCACAGGGATCTTTGTGGTACCTACCAAGTCTCTTACTCATTCAGACAGTCAAGCGTTTTCTTTTGGAATTGTTGTCCCTGTACCATATCATACAGGCACAGACAAGTGGAGCCAACATGATCAGACAGCAAATATCAGGTTTGAGTGATCCATTTCTACCACCAATGAACCTAGTAGCAATAAAGAAATTTGGGAACTAGAGGAGTGAAATATATTTTATAAGCATGTCTGCTATTGTCTGGGGTATGTTTTCTAAGACCCATGACTTCTTGAAAGAGCTTGCTAAGTGACTTCAGACTTCTTTAAAAACTTGTAACAGATGACACTTAATGTGAGTTGAGGGTGTGAACATAGGCCCACTTAACACATAGCCTAATGCTTCTCTCTCTCTCTCTCTCTCTCTCTCTCTCTCTCTCTCTCTCTCTCCCTCTCTCCCTCTCTCCCTCTCTCCCTCTCCCTCCCTCTTTCTCCCTCTCTCTCTCCCTCTCTCATACACACCTACTTTTTTTTTACCATTTATGCATGTGCACACAATCTGCCTCACAATGCTATAATGTCTTTGTAAATTGGATGTTTAATATCCTTCAGATAAATGGCTTCAGAAAAAAAATGTGGATACAATAGTCTGTCTCTGAGTTAACATGATAGGCTCTGCCTCCCAAATTGGCTCAGAGAAATTAGCAAGAAGGGAGGAAGGATCAGACAAATAATAAACCTTCTTACCTGCTCATTAATTTAATCTCCCCACCAGTACCCTTACCACCCCCTCTCCGCCTTGTGGCTTCACGACCCATAAAATAACTAGATAACTTGGAAGTCCTAGATGAAAGAGAAAGTAGGTCTGGAAGCTCCAAGATTAAAGGCAGGCTTTAGGATTAGTCTTTGATTTTCTCCTTTTTTTCTCTCTCTCTCTTTCTCTTTCTTTCTTATTTTTTCTTTTTATCTCAAAGGTGACTGAAGAGACTTCCTCTTTCTGGGCTCCTCTCTGCTGAGCTGGTCATCCTGCCAGGGGCAGATATCAGATTGGGACTTAGGACAGAAGCTACACGTTGGGACTACTCTCAGAAGAAGCTGACACTTGGGACAGGCTTCCATTGCTTAGGTAATATACAGTGGAAGGAACTTCTCCTCCCCGCCCCCCAGAGTTTGGGTGATCCATCTTCTTTCAGACTTTTTTTTGTGAGAGACAATGCTAGGTCAGATACCAGGACTTTGACCATGCTCAGCAAGTGCCTGACCACTAAGCTACAGTCCCAGCCCCTTGCAGGAAGATTTTGGCTCATGTAGCAAATCTGCAGAATCTTAGGAGGTATCAATGACATCATAGTGTCTGCCCCAATAATGGAAACAAGACTGTGGACTTCTCCATCACTGCTCAACAGAATATGTCTCAAAGATGCGTAGCAGAAATGGCAAAGAGTCTTCCAAAGGCATGGCTGCCACAGTCTGTCACCACAATTTAGATGCTAGGTTTTCAAACTTCTACACTTCTAGTGAGCATGCTCGGCATCTTGAGGTATAGGTGCACCTGTCCAAAAGAGCTGACTCTGTTTGTGTGTGTGTGGGGGGTGTCTTTGTTCATTCCTCTTACATAAAGGGCATCTCTGACATCCCCAGAGCCTATCATGAAGTCCACGAATGCTGTAGTCAACTAGAGAAAGGGAGAAATGGAAGCTCTGAGATAGAAGGGAGTAAAGAGCATCAGAAGTGGGTTCAGTCCATGGGAAGCGAAGAAGCACCAGGAGAAAAAGAAAACAGCATCCACTGGTCCTGATACTCCCATCAGACAGCATCACAGTGGCTCCCCCAGTGCTGCTGATGCTTCTTACAAAGTCAGCAAGGATTCTTTCTCTGGGCACAAGCTTTTTCTAAGCAACAGGAAGAAGCTGGAAGATAGCTCAGTTGATAAAGTGCTTTCCTTACAAGCAGGAGGACCTGGGTTTGATCCCCAGAACCCACGTTAAAACAAAGCCAGGGGTGATAGTATGCACTTGTAATCCCTGCACAGAGGAAGGAGAAAGGAGAAACAAGCATAGTTTTAGGTATTGCTGACCAGATAGCCCAGTCTACTTGGTGAGTTCTAGACCCTGTCTCAAAGACCAGCTTGGGTGGCACCTGAGAAATGACACTCAAGGTTGACTTGACTTTAACTTCCCTACACACACACACACACAAACACACACACACAGAGAGAGAGAGAGAGAGAGAGAGAGAGAGAGAGAGAGAGATGCACACACAGACATGCACACATATGTACACACACAGGGCCATCTTCATCACCAGTGTACACACATGCAAATGTACAAACATATATGTGCACCCCCCCCACAGGAACAGAGAATGACCCTTCACTAGTGCTAGGGTTCAGCAAGAGCTCAGGTACAATGGCATGAACCATAACAGAAATGCTAGTGAGAGACGAACAGGGGAGCAGCAAGGAGCCATGAGTCCTTCTTAAGCATCTCCAGGTGCCTAAATGAAAATAGTTATGAATTTCTTCACACGAGAGCTCATCACAGAGCATAGACCACAAGACATTCCCAGCTGTTCACATTCGTGTCCAGAAGCCCCGCTTTGGGAAGAAACCTTTCTCCGGCCTAAAACAGTGGCTCTCAAGAATATGGTCCCGGAATCTCCTTACATCTTGAAAATTGTTGCAGCTCCAAATAGCTTGTGTTTATAGAGATTATATCTATCTGTGTTTATTGCATCAAAGAATCTTAAAACTGAGAAACACTTTAAATATTTTAGTATGCATTACTTTATTCAAATATAATAACAAAGTACATGAGAATACAAGTTGGGTTTTTTGTTTTGTTTTTGTTTTTTTAGTTCTCAAAACAAAATTAGCAAGAACAGTGACCTGATTTTGAGACACAGTGTTATATGGCCCAGGCTGGTCTTGAACTCTCTTTATTAGCCCAAGGTTGGCCTTGGTCCTTTTACCTCTGTTCCCCAAGTGCTGGCCGCTGCCATGTAGGTGTGCACCACAATGCCCAGGACATTGAGTTTTTCAATTTCAAAAATCTCTTGAGTGTCTGTCTTAATAGAAATTAGCTCAGTGGCTATAGCAAAGTTTAGATAGTCTGTTGTGATATTGTTTTGTGTGAGTATACGAATCCAACATGGCCTCACACAGACAAAGAGTTAGAAAAGGATTTGCTTTGATTGCATTCTGTTAAGTGCGGGTTTTCATGGAAATTATATCAACATTCAACAAATGGCAGTTTCTTAAATTGAGTTACAGCTTGGAAACCTTTTAATATGCTGTTACATTAAAATCCATTGATCCGTCTTATTCTTTGATGGAATTTTACACCATGAATTGATCACCTGGAAATATCGGTTACCTGTGCTGCACTTATTTTTGCAAACGGTGACATATTTCATGGTTCAGTATTGGAAAATCACGTTTGCTAATATCACCTCTGATCTCACCAACAATCTTCAGGTGGTAGGGTGCTCAAGGCATGTGCCTCTGGGACTCAGTCCTCACTAAAGAAGATAAGGCTTGACCCACAGGCTAATAGAGAAGTCCGCTAGAAAGCTTTTGACCAAAGCTGACCCACAGTTAATGGGCTGAGTCTGGCAAATGGAGAGGCGGAAAACAGGAAGTCCTTGTAGAGATGCTTGTGAAATCTATGGGGTTTCTTCATCTTCATACAACCATCTTCAGAGGTGCCCCTAAAGACAGAGTAAACCAGATGAAGAACCCACAAAGCTCACCAGGTAGCCAACTTCTAGGGAGCTACCCACAAGAAAGTGTTTCACCAAGTAAGCAAGGCTCCTTGGGCAGCATCCCTCTAGGACGGTGCTGAGTTTTGTCAACTTGACACAAATGTCTGGGAAGAGCAAATCTTAATTGAGAAAATGTCTCCATAACAACTCTGTAAGGCATTTTCTTGATTAATAATTGATGTAGGAGGACCAGCTCACTGGGGGTGAACATGTTATGCTGGGTGCTATAAGAAAGCAGGTTGAGCAAGCCACAGACAGCACACCTATAAGTGAAGTTCCTCCATGGCTTCTGCTTCAGTTCCTGCCTCCAGATTCCTGCTTTGAGTGACTGACTTCCTTTAGTGACAGACAATTACTTGAAAATGTGAGATGAAATAAACCCTTTCCTCCCTAAGTTGCTTTTGGTCCTAGTCTTTATCACAGTAATAGAAACCTAACTAAGACAAGTGACAAGAGAAGCTAGCCACGAGTAGGTGGCAGGCTGCCGGGAATGAACCTTCGTGTTCATTCTATATATAAGCTGTTAGAAAGCAGCTTCATAATTTAGTGTTTATAAATTATTCAGTGCTACTGTGGCTAGATTTAAGGAGACATTCTGATAGCCAGCAATGGATATGATAACTGTGGAGGCTCCTCATTGCCTTGTGTGGGAAAGGGAGATGGGTTTTGCTTGCTCAAAGGTTAGCCACACCTTATTTGGTAAAAAGGGAGATAGGGGGGCAGGGAGAGGGAAAGGAAGAGAGGGAGGAAAGAATGGAGGAAGGGAGGGAAAAGGGAGAGGAAAAGAGAGACAGGGAGATACAAAGAGGAGGGGGGAAGGGAGAGAGAGTGAGGGGAGTGAGGGAGGGGGATGGAGAGAGGGAGGGGAGAAGGAGAGGAAGAGAGAGAAAGAGAGAGTAGAATGGAGAGAGGGAGAGAGGGAGGAAGGAAGGGAGGAAGTGAGAGAGAGA